CACCCTTTCCCATTATAATTTAATGTTCATCAGAAATCATTTATTCAGCCAAGAAATAATTACTGTGCTTGTATTGTAGGTCAGGCTGTCTGTTAGACACTAGGGATAGAGCTGAGACAGTCTTGCCCTTCAGAGCACTGACTTTAGAGCAAGAAGGACAAACAAGAATGCAATCAATTGCAACCAAGGTGGATAGCATTGTGATAAAAGAAGCACACAGTGCTGTACATACCCACAAGGGACCTAGCATGGGGGCTGAGGGTAGCAGTAGGAAGGGAAGCTCCTCTGGAGGCAGTGACATTTCAGATCAGACTTGATGACTTCAGGGTTAAGAATGAATGTACATATGAAAACATGCTCAAAGTCACTAATCATTTGAAAGATGCAAATCAAAACAACAATGAGGTACCGTCTCACACCTGTCAGAATGGCTATCAACAACAAATGACAAGTTCTGGTGAGGATGCAAAGAAAAAGGAACCTTCATGCACAGCTGGTGGGAATGCAGACTGGTGCAGCCACTGTGGAAGACAGTATCAGCACTCAGTTGTGAATGGCCTTCATTTTTACCGCAGCGTAGTTGCAACAGCATGGATGGAACTGGAGAGCATTATGCTAAGCGAAATAAGCCAGTCAGAGAAAGATAAATATCACATGATCTCACTCATATATGGAATATAATGAACAACATAAACTGATGAACAAAAACAGATCCAGAGAAAGAGAAGCATCGATCAGACCATCAAGCCTCAGAGAGAAGGTAGGGGAGAGTTGGGGTAAGGGGAAGAGATCAACCAAAGGACTTGTATACATGCATATAAGCATAACAAATGGACACAGACACCAGGGCGGATGAGGGCATGAGCAGGAGGTGCGGGGGGTGGGAGTGGGGGAGCAGAGGTTATGAGGGGATAAGGACACATATGTGATACCTTATCAATAAAGAAAAAAAATTGTTAAAAGATAAGAAAAAAGAATGAATGTATACCTTGCATTTTGCTTCCTCAAAAAGATCTACTAAAACCACATTAAAGAGACCTTTAAAAATAATAAATCTACAAGAACAGGGAAAACAAAAAAAGAGACAAAAGAAACAAATTTTGGAAGCTCAAGAGAAAATGGACTAGTGGTTCTGACTTAGCAGAAAGCTGAGTCCTAAAGCAGCAAGGGAGACCGGGGGGAGAGCTGTCTGAGAAGCAGCTAGAACTCCAGGCCCCAACTGCACTCCCACTGCTGGGTTATTGCCAGCAGAAAGCTAGAAAGTTATCCACTGGAAAGGGTAAAGAGAAAGTCCTTGATCAACAACACGGTTCAGTGACCATACACAATGAAGTACGATATTGATGTCCCAGCCAATTGCCCTACTGACTGCAGGAACACAGGCCCCACCCAGCCCTTCACCTTTCAGATGGGTAAGAGCTTCCTCTGGGGAATCTGACCAGGCCCCACAGAAAGACTAAAATACTAACACAAGGGCTTCTGTAAAAAAAAAGAAAAGAAAGAAGAAAAGAAAAGAAAAAGAAGAAAAAGACCCACCTAGATCCCTCCAGTGAAATTCCAAGTCAATAAGCCTTACTCACAGGCCCAAAAAGCCTCATCTCATGAAGAGAAAACTAAGGATTAATTTCCAAACACTTGATGGAAACCCCTAGCATGGAAGATACATAACTACAAACAAATACAAACAGAAACAAGAGAGCATTCTTGGACAAAATAAGAGACTGTATGTGTGGAGGAAAAAAATAAAGAAAAAT